ACCTGACCTACTGAGTTCTATCGCTAACCCATGACTTGGTGTCATAGGGAAGACAACTTTTTTCTTCAGATTTGGAAGAAAATGACCAACCCAAAGAATGTAGTATTCTCCTGGCTGGCCATGATTTTAATCCTTGCCTAGGAGTAAGCATTACGTTGCACATTCATACAACATTGCCACAGAGCCTCTATCTTGGCGATGAGACAGGAGAAGAGAGATGAGCTCTTCCTCCTTCCCCACATTCTTCTACATACACCCATAGGCCTCACCTCGAGTACTGTGTGCGGTTCTGGGCACCACAGTACAAAAAGGACATTAAATTGTTGGAGAGTGTCCAGAGAAGGGTTACTAAGATGGTGAAGAGCCTAGAAAGGAAGATATATGAGGAGCAGCTGAAGTCACTTGGTCTGTTCAGCCTGGAGAAAAGGAGGCTGAGGGAAGACCTCACTGTGGCCTTACAGCTTCCTCATGAGGAGGAATGGAGGGGCAGGCACTGATCTGTTCTCTTTAGTGACCAGTGATAGAACCCATGGGAATGGTGTCAAGCTGAGGCAGGGCAGCTTCAGGCTGGGTATCAGGAAGAGGTTCTTCACCAAGGGTGGTCACGCACTGGCACAGGCTACCCAGGGACGTAGTCGTGGCACCAAGCCTGTCGGAGTTTAAGAAGCATTTGGACTGTGCACTTAGTCATGTGGTCTGAATTTTTGGGTAGACCTGTGTGGAGCCAGGAGTTGGGCTTGATGATCCTCGTGGGTCCAACTTGGAATATTCTATGATAGCTTGGTTCAAGCTCGGCCTTGCATTTCAGCAGCTATCTGCACCTTTGCATAACAGTAAAATAACACTGGCCTTCTGTGACAAATATGATATAAGGGGTCTACCACTTGAGGCAGAACGGCCAGGTTAACGTGTAGCTGACCAATGTAAATAGGATGAAATCTATTTCTGACTCCTCAAGGAGTCAGCTTCAAAGGAATGCCAGCAGAATCAATTTCAAATGTTGACTGTGGAATGTGTGAGAGGTGTAGAGGACTGAATGAAATAAATACTCAGGTGCAAGTCAATGTACAAAATCACCTTCTGGCTTTAAAAAGAGAAAACAGGGAAGTGGCTTTGTACTTAGAATTGCCAATGACTGTAGTACCTGTGCTCTGTTCTCTCTTTTATATGGGACAGGGAGCCATGAGGGCGGTGAGGCACTGGAACAGGTTGCCCAGAGAAGTTGTCAGTGCCCCATCCCTCAAAGTGTTCAGGGTCAGGTTGGATGGCGTTCTGGGTGGCCTGATCTAGTGGGAGGTGTCCATGGCAGGGGGGTTAGAACTAGATGATCTTCAAGGTCCCTTCCAACCCAAACCATTCCATGACTATATGGGCCATTTAGCACAGTGATTTCTGCAGTGTCAAGTTGCCATCTCCTTTCCCCAACACAACACATCAAGTACGATGTTGAATATTCACACACACAAAAATCATGTTTATGGAAATTAAATTGTCATGGCAACAGAATAGGTCTTGCAAGTATTTTAAAAATAAATTAACAAAACACATTTATGAAATCTAAGATCAATTATTTCATGAATGCACTTAAACAGATATAAAAAATGGTTTTCTACCTACGTAAGGATGAAATCGCTTAAACCAAAAATTTCACCTTATCATAGTGGCATATGTAATAGATATGCATAGCTATAAATATTTTAAACTACAACAGCAAAACTCAGTTTCAGCTGGACAGATACTAATGTGATCATCGGGCTTATTTTATCTCGAGTACAATATTTTCATATATTACCATTCATACTTTGTGATATGACTCAGCTTTTTAACACAAAGCTTGTAACAATGGTTATTTTGGTATATATGGTTAATGGTTATTAATCTCCATTAAAATCTCAGCTCTTCAGGGGCTTATAGTGCTTACCTGTGAATGTACAGTCTTTCTTTAAAATAGCATACTCATTTGGTTCAGCTGATTTTATTTTTTTTTTCTCCCCACTTCTCAGGATGAATTTGACCACTTAGGTTTTGCATTCTTTAGAAACTTTCCACTATTATGACTTGTACAAAATGATTAGCCACAAACTCAAGCTGACAGAGAAATTGTAACTTTGTGTGGATATTCATCAATGTTTGTGTTGAGAACTCAGCCTAGATAAATGACAAGCTGGTGAGATGCTGGATAATTACCTGTGGTATGTTCAAATTCAGATTCCCAGAGATGGCAGCCTTAGTCACGTTACCTTGCATAAGCATCATTACTGAAGTTAGAAATGCAGTACAGGTTGAACCCCTGCAGTGAACACAATTATGTTCCTAGAGTCTCTCTATTGATCACATTCACTGTTTCCTCCAGCAAGATTTAATCATTATCCCCTCTGGGCATATCCTTTGGGTATGCTTGTAACTGGAACTTTTCATTTAAGTTAGTGTATTACCAATTAGCTTTCATCAAACATCTCATTTATATTTACTAGTCTGGAAATTTCAAGTTCCATGTGCTTAATTTTCTCCTTGATTCTATACATTATGAAACCTAGGAAGTTTATAACTTTATAATAGAAATCAACCAGTGAAATATAACTACATAGAATAGTTTGGTTTTTTTTTTCAAGCTCTTTAGAATATTTTCATTTTGCATTTCATAATTAGTCATAAAGCATCTTCACCGATGATCATCTTTACAGACTGCTACAACCAAGGCCACATACATCCATTGTAATGCTGCAACTGTGTAACTTTAAAGTTGTAGAGCTCTTTAATGAAGACAAGTCTAAAGACAAATTAAAGAATGTTATATGTCAGACTTATTTTATATCTTGTAGAAAATAAGAAAACTCTTTTGTATTTCTTCTTTCCAGGTTATATCTGAAAGTTTTCATAAATCCAGTGCAAATTACTGTCCTTTTTACAAAATTAGGGACTATTTTAAAATCCCATCACCATCCAATCTCATTTCTCCACAGAACTGTACATGTATTCTAAAATTCATTTTTCTACTTTATGCCATCTTCTGCCCCCCTAGGGGAGCGTTTGTTAGGGCACTGCATGTGATTTGATGAGTAGGAAAGAGCCTGGGAAACCTGTGTTCCTGCTCCCTTGAGTATCCTGAACAGCTCTACAACCTCTCAATGATCTTTTTGTGGTGGACCAGAGAAAATGGAAGAGAACTGTTGCAGGCAATGGTGCTTTATCGACGTCTTTAAATACCTCTGGTGCCCACTGATTCAGAGCACTGGAACAACTCACCTTTATCCTGCAATTCAAGTTCACCTGTTTGCCGAAATTCATCTGTTAAAGCACTCTTCTCATCCAGCTTCCATCTTCAAATCTTTTCATTCTCCTGTCTTTCTGCAGGAGTTTCTAGTTCTTTGTCCTTCTTACCAGATCTCTGCTAATGTGCTCTCCCAGGCTGCGCTCCTCTCCTTCTGGGCTTGATTCTCTGTTTTTCTCCTTGTCACACCATTCATCTGGAACAGCTTCCCAGAGCCCTTAAAATTCAGTTGGTTCACTTGGCCATTTAATATTTCTTCTCTGTCTGCTCCTACTTGCACTGTTAATCTTCATGTACATCTGTCCAAATTGCATTGTCAAACCAGACTGCAAGATGCTGAGCAAACCCTGTCTCCTTATGTGTTCATTAAGTAATGAATACATCCACAGAACTGCTGAAACTACAGCAGTGAAAAATGTCTCTGGCCACTTCTCTTGTCTCTTATTTTGATGAAAACAGAAGGCATGAGGGAGGGGAGAGAAATTTGTTCACAGTTAAGTTGGTCTGGCAGTGACCACAGTTCAGAAAGCAGCAGCGTTAGGTAGTGTGCAGCTTGACAGTGAAAAGAACCAAAAAGTTGTTATAAACACAAGCAGCGCTCAACAGCTGACTTTTACCAACCACAATGAGTGAAGAGCAAAAACTGACCAAATAATATAAACAATACTAAATATTTGGACTATGACAGAGACTGTAGTCAAGAACAAGGTGTTACGGTGCGTGCATTGTGTATGTCCATAGCAGCAGCATTTGTAAAGCAAGAGAAGATGACAAGAAAGCATGCACAGATGTGGCATAAAGCCTAGGCAGATAAACACAAGGAAAGAATCCAGTCTTAAACAATGGAAAGGGAGGAGGGAAAAGAATACATTAAGTATTCAGGTAAGTATGAGCTAATAAAATATAACTGCAAAGCAGAAAGCAGCTTTATTCAATGGCTCACCCTCCTGTATTTTATGGACACTGGATTAAAACTGAGGGGCTATGGCAGAGCGCTTAGCAGAGATGCAACCCTAGGAATACCTAGCAAAAAGCTGGTACCACTGCTACTATACCAGGGAGCAGCAAGCTGTGAATACACACATCTTTCCCTGCGTCTCCTTTCCTACATTACACGTGCAAGTAAAAAAACTACCACAAAGAACTTCTTGATTTTTTCAATGTATGGACCACTTTCTGTGGAAATACAAAAAAAAAAAAAAAAAGTAGAGTAAGGTCTACCGACAGTAGGTTTGCTTTGCTTAATTAAGCTCTCATTAAAAAAATAGCTTGTTTCTGCAGACTGCCGGTGGTCTGTGCACCAGAGGCTGAAAGGCAACATTAGCTATGGAATTCCAGCAGTAAAGTTCACAAACATAAATTCATAGGAACACCTGAAAAACCTTTGCTTTCCACAAAAAAGGGTGTAAATCACCCATATTCATTCATTTTCATGTCCATAGAAATTAAAAAGAATAAAAGGAATCATAAATGCCAAAGAAAGCTTGACGTTTTAAAGAACAGACAGTTGAAAGTCCCAATTTCTTTTTGGCAATATTTGCCCTACTATATATAAGAAAATGTTTGTTTGTTTTTTAATAAATTAATTTGTTTCAATAATGAAGGTGATGGATATTTACTTGAGGCATCTATTTACAACTCCATGAAGAAAAATAAAATGGATATTGGTAATTTTAGACAGATCTAATTCCTGCAGCTTTCCTAAGTGGTGTTCTACACTTCTTTTCAGCCCTTTACAGAGCTCCCTCTGCTGAAGACAGCACTAGCTTCTAATGAGAACCATTCTTCAGATGCTCATCTTGCATAAATGAAGCCTTAAAGCCAATGGTGCCACTGCAGTTTACACAGCTGAAGGTCTAGCCCTTGAAGTCTATCAAGACTGCAGCAGAATAAACAGAAAACAAAAGACATGTTACATGGAGCTGTCACACCCAAGAAGAGGAGAGCTGTACACCACAGAAGAAAAAGGTTGAACCGTCTGGGAATCATCCCTTTTTTCTCTAGTTGGCTGTGAGAGGCTGTCCCTCATGATCTCCACCCCTGGCTATTTCATGCCTCATCAGAGGCTGCTCTTCTATCTTCCACTAACGTTATACTATGTATTTCAGTTACTCCCGGCATAAAAATAGTATTCATGTGTAATTCAGGCTGTGATCCAAAAGTCTGCCCTCTTCCTGACACAAGGGATTCATCCTGGAGAATACCTCATGCTTTCAGATAATTCCACTCCTCATATTTTCCTCCCGTTCTCCCCTTTTGCTTTCCCCTCTTCCCACACATGTGATGTTGAGAGAAGGCAAAATGGGTAGGAAGGAGGGCAAGATTACTGTGTATCAGCTCAGGGAATGACAGAGAGCCAGATCTTCTCCCACGCTGACTGGCACATGGCAGCTCCAGGAGAACGCAGTCTGCAAGCTAAAGGGCATGGACAGACCCTTCTTTCAGCTGCCATCTGCAGCACGTACCGGCTGGAGATGCATGCTGCTCAATCCTGTGGGAAACTGAAAAACAGAGGATACACCACCATTTACCTCTGCTGGTGTCCTTGTCTTCCATCCTGCAGAGCTTGGTGGGGTATGAGTTAGCCCTGAGACCCCAGAGGCTTCTCCAAAAGCCCTATTCCAAACTACAGGTTCACAGAGTCTGTGGCAGGCTGCCTGTGACACAGCTGAAGACTGGTAGTTGATAGAACCACAGCATTTACTAGAGCACTTCCTAAGGATACCAACTCTTTTTATGAACCCGAACAAGGGACACCTTTGTTACAGCTCAGTCCTGCAGCCCTACCAGATGCATACAAGGAAGACCACAGCACACCATGAAAAATCCTGATCCAGGACATCACCAAGCAGTTGCATCTATCGTAATGAATGGAAGCAAGAGTACAATTTCAAAGCTGCTCCACAAAGCAGACTGCAAGTAGATGGGCTAATCAAGCTTCTCTACATGGCATTTGGTCTGGAAATTAATTTTTGTCAGGGCAAAATTTAACGTATCCCCTGGATATGAAAAATTTCTTATGAGTATTTTCTAATGTTTATGCAAAAACCCAGTTTACAATGCATCTTAAAAACTGCAATTCTGGGTTACTACAGAAAACCCTAAAAATTACCCAATTGTAGGAAAAAAAAAAATATAAACAAAGAGAAAGTATTACTTCTCCTGTCCAAACAGAGTGATAGAGCAAAACATAAATAGCATACAGGAAAAATAAACTGGATGTTTAAAATTCTCAGATTTTACCCTCATAGATGACTTCCATAATGTAGAAAAGATAATTTAACTGAAGAAAGGAGAGGCTTTCAGATGCTAAGAGACCTCCTGTGTGTTTGGTAGTGCAACAGTGCACAAGTTCTGTTTGGATACTACTTGTTTGAGGTACTAGGCACTAACGAGCACATCAAATGTACTGGGCTCCAAGCAGTGGAACACTGGATTTACTCAGCGTTGCCTATTTCCTCACCTGTTCCGGTGGCTTCTGACCTTCTATTACAAGTGCACTGCAGAGACTACAGATCAGTTATAACTACACGCAAAACAGATGAGGAACAGAATTTGAGGACTGGAAAACAGAGAACTTCTGTTATCACCAGTACAAAGTCACACTCTCCACCTAAGCAGGGAAAATATATAGGAAGCCTGTGAAACATCATTTAACATGTTAAAAATCTGTACTACGGGAACAGGCTCAGATGCTAGATGTGAATACTTCACATCATCGCAAATATTTATTTTGTAAGTGCTGCTCAGCTCATGGAGACAGCTAAAGTGTGAGACTGACACAAGATCTCTTTTTACCCTGACTATTCCTACCAGCAGATTTGTATCCCTCCTGTTTCCCCTTGCATGTAAGCTGTGTGATATATGACAAGATCTGGCTGAGACTGTACACAGTCATATTCTACTTGGTTATAGTATCTCAGAGTAAATTTTTTAGGAAAATGTATAAGACATCAGCAGCTTCATTAAGAGAAGAGCTCATTTATGTATGGACTAAGTGCTGTGCTTTGCATAGGGATGCATCTCCCAAACAAAGCTTTTGGCCAGTCTGTGAGAATGCCACATGGAAGATTTGTTTATTTATTTTTTAAGTTGTAGTTTGTTTTGCTACTTTCATGCCAGATGATCAGGATGAACAGAGTTACAGACAGTCAGAAAGAACAGCTTATCAAAAGAAAGATGGATTATAAAAAAATCTAAGGTCATTAAAAAATTAAACAAGCAAGCAAAATAATACGACTTGGAGCTGGTCCAACCAAACAGTGATAATGCAACCAGCAGGGCTGCAAAATCCAGATTCAACATTCAAGCCAGCATGGACTGGGAGTCCTGTACACCAGTCTTTAGAAAGGAAGCGCTGCCTACTGCCGTTCTTTATGGTCCCCTTCCACTTGAGGGAAGGCACGGCACTGGCTACCTCCAACAGCCCAGCAGTAGAGAAGAGTTGGTGCAGATAACTATACCTCAAGCCAATTCTGGCATGAGGACAGCTTAAAGGGTTTACCCTCCCAGGATGAGGAAAGGACAGAGAGGATTTTCTAGTGTGCTGTACAAAGCACATTTTATATCAAAATCATATTATTCAGATGTGGTAGGAAAAGGGTATTGTAAGTCTCCCCATCTACATCTGGTCCAACCAACATTGGGGTTGGACCCGATGATCTTTTGAGGTCCCTTCCAACCCCTTCAATTCTGTGATTTTTTTTCCTTGTCTACAGTGAGGACATAGCATCTTCAGTGCAACAGAGAACTACATCCACTTAGCTCTGCTTTTGAAAACCTCTCTCTGAAGGTGGTGGGAAATTGTGACAATAACATAAAAGCCCATGGAAGTACTGAACCAGGGAGTTTCTATTTGATTCATCACTGCGGGATCTTCAGGTGTCTGCACTAAGGACTGTGAAAACAACACACCTGAGGGTGCAGCATTACATCTGGAAGCATATATACCAATGCCACTCTTTCTACAGGAAAACTATGAGGGATTTAAAAAGGTGAATGTTTTCCTCAGGAACACACCTGTAGCTTAACAGCAGGCAGGCAGAAATAGTGATGGTCTGTACCCGTTGCACACAGTAACCCAGACCTAGGTGATGCTTTAATCGTTACGAATGATTAAGAATTCCAGGTTCATTAAGGAATTAAGGCACCTGAAAATAATAAGATGGGCAGGGCAGCGGCTTTTAAAGTACGGGACAAGCGAGGTGCTGCTGCTCCTGCAGAGAAAGCTTCAGTAACATACACAGTAGCTGAAATAGTGCCCAGGACTGTGGCAGATTCAGGGTATGGACTTATCTTGTTTGATTCTTTTTTTAAAGGGAGTGCTTTGCTTACCGCTAGAATACAAAAACACAGCCACAATTTACAACCGTGCTACCTCAGCCTTACTCGGGACCTCGTACCGCGGAGAGGCGAATCCCGCAGCTCCTCGCCTCGCTCCCTTAGGGCTTTCTCCCTGCCAGCCTCCTCGGCAAACTCGTGCAGACCGTGCCCGGAGGGCTCTGGCCACCCGCCTCAGGTCTCCCGGTGCCTCGGTCCCGTCACCACAGCGAAGTTTTGTGGAGCCGCGGGGCCGGGCAGTGCCGGGCAGGGCAGGAGGCGGCGGCAGCGCCCTGAGGCGCCCAACGGCCGCGCGCCCCCCGCAGCCCCCGTCCCGGCACCCGCCTCGGGAGCGCGCTCCCCGCCTGCCTCAGGCACCCTGCAAGTCACCGCCGCGGTGCCCCGGAGCTCCTTACCCAGCCCCGGCACGAAGGTGTTGAGGAAGAGGCAGATGACAGCCACGGGGAACGGCATGTAGGGGATGGCGGCGCGCAGGGGGCCCTTCTTCTCCCGGACCTGCACCACCACCCCGCTGGAGGAGCCGGCGCCCCGGCTGGGCTCCGCGGCCGCCGCGCTCTCGCCGTCTTTGGGCGAGGGCTCCATTGCCCGGCGCTCGGCGCTGCCCCGGCGGGCTGCGAGCTGCCGCCTGTGCGCGCTCCCGGCGCTGCGCGGCCCCGCCTGGGCGCCCCACTCCCCCTCGGCGCCGCGCGCGCGCTCCCGCGGCCGTTCCCGCCCCGGCGGCGCCTCACGGAGCCCGCTCGCCTCAGGGCGCCCCCCCCCCAGTGCCCGGTGCCTCACAGGGTCCTTCCCTCCCTGCAGCGCCAAGAAACGCTGCCTGCCCCCCGTGTTTTTGTTTAAAAAGAGCTGCCGGCAGGTGTAAGGGGCTGTAAACGGAGCCCACGCGGCTCGCTGCTCGTTTGTGGGTTGAAAAAGCGCTGTCGAGAGGAAGGGGGGGGAGCCACAAGTGTTAGGAGAGAAAATAATACGCGCCCCACAAGTTGGTCGTGGCTTGGGATAATGGGGAAATGTGTCTTCGTTCAGTACTGCGAAGGGGAATGTCCTCTTGTAGGGCTGGTATTTATTCAGCACACAGTAAAATGGGAAGTGGTAATAGGGCTCGAAATGTGTCAGTAGTTAGAAATGATGGCGAGGCTCGGCGGCTCTCGGCGAAGGAACTGGGGGAAATATTAAAGGCATTAATCCTGATACAGAGCGTAAGTGCGATATGCATACAGGACTTCTGCATGAGAAGTAGTCAGCGTCTTACTGCACACTTTAAAATTGTATCTTCCCTAGAGGAATTCCTGTTGGGTATTTATGGCAGGGGGATTGAGCTAGATGATCTCTGAGGTCCCTCCTAACCCCAGCCATTCTGCGATCACCTGGTTCAAGGGAGAAGTACACTTCTGTGCAGATGAACGCTTTATTCACCCGCTGCTACTTGTAGATGCTGTGCTGACAGGACTGTAATGGCACCGAGACCTCAGAAGTCGTTCCCATCTCACAGATGTCAGGCTGCTCCGTCAGGCTGGATTTGACCCAGTGGACCCTTCCTAGTGCAGATGAGAACTACGCTTATTGCTTACAGAGTACGCAAGTATATCCTCCGCTCACAAGACTTCAGACAAGTTTTGTTACACACTTCAGACTGACAAATCAAGCTGAAGGGTATTCTTTGTGCCAAATCTCACAGAAATCCTGCACAGATTCCAGAGGGAGCAGTAGTTTCATATTTATTAATTCATCTTCTGTTTGGAGTTTTTCTCTGTCAAAATAACAAAGTCTTGTTCTTTCTGCAAGTTTCTATTAGCCTAGAACTTTTAATGGTGGCACTTGTGGCGGTGTTCTGCTCTGTCCTGAGAGTATGTGATACTACCAGGATCACCAGGAGATACTCCAGGCTCCAGCATGGCATCAGCATCCCTGGGGGTGTTCAAGGAAAGGTTAGACGTGGTGCTCAGGGACATGGTATAGTGGGTGACATTGGTAGCAAGGGGATGGTTGGCCCAGATGATCTTGAAGGTCTTTTCCAACATTAACACGTTTATGATTCTATGCTCCATCTCAAATGAAGTTACGACTCAGATCAGATTTCTTGCTACTTATATAATACTTTCTGTTTCTTAGTAAAAGCTGGCTCAGACAGGATTAAATGTTATATTTTGTAAGACGGTCTTTTCAGAAAGCTGTGAAATAGAAAAACATATGCTGCTCCCCTTTCTTAAGATTCCCTTAAATCATGATGCTGACAGAGGCTGATTTACCAACATATATAACTTTTGATCTTGGAGAAAGGCACCTATTTGACAACTGTGAGGAATGAGATCTTCTATTTACTGACACGAGAGCAGTGTAAATGCATGTCTTCCTCATACTGTTGTACGCCTTGACTGGAAGGACTAATTTTAAAAATGAGCTACAAGTCCAAAAAGTATGAGCATTTCAGTCCTTGTCTCCCTGCTACAATTTTCCAGAGCTTTGTACTGTCAATTGAGCTGAAGTCAACAGCTACTGCGATACAGGTCACATCTGAATAGACAGAAGCAGTAAGCACTGCTGGTTAGCTCAGGGATTTCCAGTGGGATGGAGAGTGTTGTATGTGGAGTGTAAGGAGCTTTATATTCTCTTACACATAGTTGCCTGATCCCTGGTCTGTGCTGAAAGCTTTTGTCCATCTCTTTGTGGAACAGCATTAGCTCTCTGGTGTCTTCCAAAGTGTAGACATCCTCACCAAGATGTGCTGAGAACAAAAGCTTTTGCCTGAGTTTGCTTTCTTGAGGTAACTGATGGGCTGTGAAATGTAAGGATCAGAGGTGTTTTTTTGTTTTGTTTTGTGATATAGCCCAGTGGACTTCCAAGGTTTCCCGTGGAATTAGCTCACAGGATGACTGTTCACTGAGTCCTCTCTTAGGTGTGGAAATCTCTCTTAGGTGTGGGAAAAAAGCTGTAGAACCTGTGTCCTCTGCTTTCTGTCAGTAGAGACAGGCTCGATATTCCCATATTCTTCAGTAGGTCTTTTGTTACGGTCAGGAGAAGATTTATGTACGCACTGTTAAGTAGTTACTGCAATATGAACTTTCTCTGATGCTGCCAAGTCTGTATCTCTCTTATGAGCAAGCAAGAGACTTAATTTTCTGGTACTGTACTTGCCCATTTTATAAATACTACACTGACATGCACCAGAGAGCTACAAATCACAGCGATATTCTGTGGCTATTAGGAATTAAAATAGGAGAGAAACAGTATTTTTTATTTTTTTTTCAAGCTTGTTCAGCAAAAGAGGAAATAGCAAAGCTTCACTTGAAGCATAATGCACCCAACTAATTCTGGCACGAGATGAGAATGTAAAAGTGAAAATTAGCATAACCAAGAAAGCAATAATGACAGAAGCAGTTTCTCAGGCAATGAGAGATGATACGTGTAGCATGCAGAGGGAGTGAATGACCTGTTGGGGAAAGACATGTGGGGAGGGAGGCCAGCAACCCCCTGGTTCTTCATTTATTTCAGCAATTCAACTAACTGTAAAAGAGGTTTTTGTACTATCAGGCTGAACCACTGCTCCCCAAGATATATTTATGTTCATCCTGCGATTTATCTGCTTCTTACCAGTCCTTCCTGCTGGAGTTG